CTGTAGATCCTGATGTCGCTAACTGATCTAGTTGTAACCTCTCCTTCTCTGCCTTCAGTGCATTTGCTATAGTTTCTTGCTCATCCGTTGCAAGAATGTTAAGAATCTCAATAATGCCTGCTTCTGCTCTGGCAGTGGCTTTAAGGGAATCCTGTAGCGTATTACTACATTTGGTTACTCGGCTAAGCCGTCTCCTCATCATACTTCCATCCTCTGGTATGGTGGTTCTTTCCTCAGTTAACAGTTTTGCTCGTTGGATATCTATCTCGAGCACCCTAGCTTGAGTAGTCAGATTGTTGAGTTCTTCGGTGAATCGTTGCATGTTGATTTTCTTCGTCTTGTAGTATAGACCCCAGCAAACTAAACTAACTTCTATTCCTTGTCCGGTATCCGTCGGTCGATGCACCAATTTTACGAATCTCCTTGCGGTGGTAGATTACAGTAAATAGTTTATTAGTAATAGTAATAATATTAGTAATTAGAATTGAGACAGAATATGTGGTAAAACAAGGAATATCAGTCAAAAGTAGCACACAACCTCTAAAGTTCAAATCGGTAACAACGGCCTTTTTATTTATCTGAGTCCTCTACTAGGTTATCATTGATAAGATATGCTTACAAATTGACCTTTGTTGGATAATGATAATGATTAGTTAGAAAATCATTGATTTTCGTAACACTGCGGGCGCCACTAAGTTATGGATTTAGAACTTTGATTAAATAACTTAACAAATTTCCTATAATAATGATCAACAGAGGAGCTAACTGAATAATAATAATAATTGCTAATATGCTTACTACAACAGTTATAACGGTCACTCTCCAATGATTCCATAAGCTTCCAAAAATCGGTCCAAAATTGGGTAACTCCATGTCGAATGTTCCTAGGCTCCAGCGTTGTTCTTTCTGTTTTCTTGGCTTAGCGTCTGTAAGTTGTCCTACGTGTTCTGGCATGTATATCAGTGACGCGTTAATCCAGAATTTTGTCTTCTCTTCACAAAACGCTGTGCACTCCATTCTTGTCTCTGGTTCTCGTGCGTATATTATTTTCTTCGACTTTGGGCTATGAGAATCGCATTGTATCGTTGTTACTTGAGTTTCGCATTTTACTGCTATCGTCATCTTCTCCGTAGATTTACATTTCAGCTGTACAGCCATTCCGTGTTCACAATCGTAGCATCCTATTGCTTTTACTTCAGATATTTCGCATTTATTATTATCCTTGAGCATCATTGTGTCTTCCATTTCTTTTCCTGTTATGAACACATTCACTTCTTCTTCATTCGAACTTATTTCCACTGTAGTATCTCTGTGATCTATTTCTGTATTGCCAGACTTGATCGGTAGGCTATTATAATAGAAAGTCCGTTCTATATTGATGCCTGGGCATGAACATTTTGGCGGAACGCTGCTCGCGGCGCATGAGCAAGGTTGCGTCACATTACATGATCCGAATCTGTTCTTAGCTTGGTCTGATGACTCGCACATTATGTTGAATGATGTAGTTGGTGATAGTAGAGCAGTCAACTTACTATTAGTTACGAATCGTTCTCCTAGATATTTTCTGGTAGCTCTATATGTTATTTGCTCTACTGCGATTGATAGATGATTATGCTCGATCTTGGTATAGGGAGTGATTTCAACATTCGTTTGATTCACTACTCTTCCATCCACTTTTTCTTTTATTCTCACTACGATCGTTGGAGTCCATGTAGAGCAGGTGAACACTTCATACACAGCATCATCCGTCGGTATGAAGCTCGGTCGGAATATAAGGCAAGCGGGAGCTGTAAAGAAACATCCTTTTAGTATTCCTCCTGGAATTTCCTCGCAATGTGATCGTCCAGGGTATTTGTCGGTATCCCAGAAAACTGATTCTTCAGAAATGTTATCCATGTTGGCACATCCGTTGAATACACCGCATCTTTTTGTTGCTGGGCAACTCACTTGGTATGGCATATCGATTCTTGTGTGTCTTGTGAAGAACATGGACTTTTTATGACAGATAAACTTTGTTTTGACTAGGTCAATTTGAGTTTCTCTGATTTTATGTCCGCTATGTGTCGTTTCGATACAAGCTTGTCTTACTGCCGTATTGAACAATAGCTCTCTTGTAAAGGATGTGTTACATTGGTTTGATGTACAAACGTAATCCATCTGATGTCGACTTAGCGTGTCAGTACATTCGTATCCTTGGACTGTATTCAAAACCATCAGAGTTAGAATCATCGTTTGAAGTCGTGATGGTATGTATCCTCTCACAGGTTGTCTTCTTTCTCTGGTTGAGAATTTAAATAGAGCTCCTGCGATTAATAATACTAAAATTATCGGCGCTAATACTGTTATAATTGCTTTAATCACGCTACAGTGCGGGTTTCCAATCAGGTATCTGGAAAACCAAGTTGCATGTTGACATACATCTGTTCCATGGCAATCTATTCTTCTCGTGTTTCCTGATTCTGTATACATAACTGGGTGACGTTCCATATGAGGATGAGGTGGAAGACTGATACTATATCTTGTTTTAGCTGCAATGTTTCTGCATTTCTCGTACAAGCATAGCTCTGCTTCACCGTGATTCTCGTCGATATTCAGAATTCCTGACTCACATATCACTGTTGTGGTGACTGTAGATACTGTTAACGCCAGCAAACTTATAATGGTGTATATGTGCTTCCATGGAAGACGTCTTCTAGAAGATGGTCGGAATGGACTTATCGGCCTTGGTACCGGTGTCCATTTTGGTTCAGACACTTTCACTGGTTCTTGATTTCCTTTTCCTTTCTGTCTGTCTTCAACTTGCGGAGTTGTGGAATCCACCCTAATTGTCGAGTCCGTTTTCTTTCGTTGTTGAACTGGTTCATCCGGAACGGAAACTAGTGGTGTATCATCTCGGGGGCTGTTGTTTCCAGTGTTATTATTCCGCATGTTGACGTCGTTGTTTATACTTTCAACATTCGACTCGTTTTCTTCGTTTCCTACTGGTGTTTCATCCTCGATGTTATCTGATCCTTGATAGGCTCGAAGTTCAGTGGGGTACAGTATTCGTGTAGGCTTTGTGGAAATAAAACCATTTGAACTCAACACTCGTACTGATCGCACTACTTTATCAGCGGATGGCAGGAGTTCTGTTATCCTACCCATTCTCCATTCTCCTTTACTAACATCCTCTTCCTTGATTAGAACAATGTCTCCTACTTGAGGGTTCTCTGGATTATTCTTATTTTTTGAAGGGTTTCCAAATAGATTTCTAAGGTTTGCTAAATATTCCTGTTGAAATCTTTTCCAAAATTGTTCGAGCACTCGTTCAAGTTTGCTCATGGTTTGAATGACCTTTTTCCTATTTTCTCGTTCCTCCGGGTCAAATGTAGGATCGTTTTCATCTAAGTATTCACTGTTGAATACTTCTAGCGGAGCTTTTGGTGATATGAAATCTATTGGCCGTATTGGATATTGATCATCGGATGCGTATGTTAACGGTCTTGAATTGATTACGGCCTCTGCTTTGCACATGACTGTGACCAATTGAATTTTTGTTAGACGTCGTGCCTTTAATCCTTTTTGTAGAGTCGACTTCACAGTTCTGACTAGTCTTTCCCATGCTCCACCCGTCCAGGGGGCTCCAGGGGTGTTGAAGATCCATGTTATTCCCTTGCTTGCTACGTATGAAAACAAGGTTTTTCCTTCCACTTTGGTTGGTTCATGCAATTTTTGTATCATATGTTCCGTCATAATGAAATTTCCCCCGTTATCACTCCTCATGATTTCGGGTACACCACGTCTTGAAATAAACCGTGAGAATGCGAGAATGAACGCTTCTCCACTTAGGTCATCAACCAATTCTAAATGTACAGCTCTAACCGCGAGACACGTAAACAATATGATGTATACTTTCTGCTCTCTATGGTACTTAATTGGTCCAAGAGCGTCTACTCCTGTATGTTGGAATACTCTCCTTGCTTTGGTTCTGTCTCCCGGCAGCGGTCCTAAGGGCTCTGTTCGGAACGGTTTAGCTGATAACTTCCTACACTTCCAACAGTCATTAATCACTGATTTCACAAGTTGGCGAGCGCTAGTAGTGAAATATTTAAGTCTAATAATCGCCAGAGTATGCTCCACTCCACAGTGGCAATTTGTTTCGTGAGCATGACGTATTAATTGCTTCATCAAATATGATTTTCTTGGTATGATTATTGGGTTCCGTACGTCAAACTCTATCTCGATACTAGTTATACGAGATCTAACTCTTCTTATTCCGTCCTCGTCAATGAAAGAGCTTGATCCTTTCATTGTTCTCTCCATGACGTCGTCTGTTAGTTGCATCTGGTGAGCTATTATTATTCTATTGAGACTTTTCTTAATATCTAATCCAGAAACAGGTGACATAAACCTTTCTGTTCTTTTTCTCCATCTCAAGATTCTTGTCACTATCCTTAGTGCCTTATTCAGAGGTAAACTGCTGAGTGTAGGGAATGGATCTGTCACGATTAAGGTCTCCACTTCTGTTATTGTATTAACAGTTATCTCTTCCTCCCTATCCACTACTAATTGCTCATACGGAATTATTGGTTGATGTTCCGTTGCATTCATTGTCCATTGAGGTCCTTGTATCCATTGACTCGCTTGTAGCAGATTGTTTTCCGTCCATCCTCTGCTCCCTATATCTGCTGGATTATGTTTAGTTTCGACGTAAAATAATTGTATATCAGTTCCAGTTGATTTCAACTTTTTGATTGTTTTCCTGATCAGTGTGCACTGATTATCAACGAAGATTGGTAACGTTTTCTGTGATCTTATCCACGAAAGGGCTATTTGACTATCACTCAAAATCCGTATTTCCTTCAGCTGTTGATTTGTCGCTGAATGTATGGATTCTGCTAGCCTAGACGCCATAACTAAGGCTATTAATTCTAACCTTGGAATAGTCAACTTGCGATTCCTAGGTGCTAATTTAGCCTTTCCTGTCAGAATTTGTGATATTCGGTTTCCTGTCTGTACATATGCACAAGTTGCCGTGGCAGTGAAACTAGCGTCACTGAATATCCATAATATGCTGTCTTCCTGCATGTTTACGCTTCTTTCTACATCGACTTTCGAATCTCGAATAGAATTGCTTAATTTATTCCAACGTTCTGCAATTGATTCCGGTGTAGTGTCTTTCCAATCCAACTTCATCTCGAAAACTTCGCGTAATAGTAATTTGAATGGTAGAAGTAACGGGGCTAAGAATCCTAGTGGGTCATATACTGAATGTAAGAGACTTAATAGATCTCTTTTTGTATAGCTTTTCTTCATATCCCATGTAAACTTCGACGTGAAACTATCGCTACTCATATTGTACGTAGCTCCTAGAATTTTCACAGTTTTGTTTGGATAGCGATCCACTTCTGGTATTTCCAGATTTACTTCTTCGTTGTTGGATTGATATTCGCGTAAGTTCATATCAATTCTCTTAAGCATCTGTTTTGATACTGTATACTTCCTGATTGCTTCTTCTTTAGTATCGGCGGTCATCATAATGTTATCAACATATAGATTTTTGATCATTTCCTGAGCTATCGGTTCTTCTTGTTGACGAAGGAATGTAGTTAATGTTACATTTAAGATGGATGGACTAGTAGTCATCCCAAATACGATCCTGGTGAATTGATATACCAATATGTTTTGTGGTGACGGCGGCTTATTATCGTCCTTTAACCACAAGAATTGACAGAATCTTTTGTGATCTTGTCGTAGTCGTATCTGTGTGAACGCTCCTTGGATGTCACACACTAGGAAGATAGGCTTTAGTCTACATACAATGAGTATATCAAATATTTTATTAATATACGAATCTCCGGTGTACAGTACGTCATTTAAGCTCTGTTCGCCTTTTGCTTTAGCTGAACAGTTGAAAACTATACGCAAAGGCGTAGCCTTATTTTCCTTCCAAACACCACGGTGTGGCATAAAATAGTTGATCTCCCCTGGTGTTCTAGGTGGAGCTACTTCGACAATGCCTTGTCTCACATATTCCTTTATTATCTTCTTATACCATATGAGTTGCTCTGGTTTCTTATCAAAACTATTGAACAATGTGTACAACGTTCTGCCTGCCACGCGGTAATTATTTTTCAACTCTTGATGGTTTGGTTTAAGAGGTAAAGGAGCTGTGACCACTCCATCGTCGAATGATATTGAGGAGGCATATTGGTTGAAAAACTCGTCAGCCTTCTCTAATGTTCCTTGTGTCGTATCGATTCCTATACTGTCGATTTCGAATAATTGCTTAATCATACGTCGTTCCTCCTTTTCCGTATCTTCTATGATTGTACTGATCATCTCCTCAAATGTGTCTGATTCGGGAGTTGACCCGCATATTGCCATTCCAAAAGCTGTGGATTGCAGATGGAGTCCTGATGGTAATTCGTGATGTGCTCCATATACCACATAATGGTAGTAATCCATCCCAATGATGATGTCGGGTTTAATACACTCTCCCCTTATCTTTGATGTAGAAAGTTGCACATTTTGTTGTGCTATGAAATTGATATCATTCTGTGTCAACGATGCTGATCTAAGTGGCTGGGTGAGAGCTGGTGCCGTGTTTAATATAAATTGAAACACTTTTCCATATTGATTCCTCATATTCACTTCCACTTGATACGATGCGAATTCTGATTTGTTGTTGGCAAATCCTCCAGTTTTGATTGTTCTTTTGGGAGACATGTTCTTTAATCGGAGTTTGTCTGCTGATTCCTGCGATATGAAGCTACTCGTGGCTCCTGTGTCAAAGAAAGCATTTAACACTGTTGTTTTGTTTTGCTCTTCGTCTAATATGACGTTGACCTATGCTATCATTAAAACTGTATGTTTCTTTCGTTCCTGTGTAATTGAAGCCATGGTATCTTTAGGCCGAAATCCTTCTTTAGGTTTCTTTACACATAAAGATCCATGATGATTAGCTCCACATTGTGGACAATTGGACATTTTACATTCATTGCTTGTATGCTTATTAGTAAAGCATTTCCAACATAGCTTTTTGTCCTTAACTATCTTTCTGCGGTCTTCTACAGAACTGACTGTCCGGCATTGATAGCTTTTGTGACCTGGTCTGTCGCATAAAAAACATGTTGGCGATGTATGCTGCGGTAGTCCTTTTACATTATTGTGGGGTATGTTATCCCTATGATATGCAAAATCCTTTCTCCGTTTTTCTTCCTGTCCTCGGAGCGCAGGTTTCATATACCTGTGGACTTTATAAGCTTCTAGCTGAGCGAGCGCAGTCACTTGCTTTTCGATTTCCGTCATAACTGTTCCTATGTCTCGATTGGCATCTGTCTCTTGAAACAATTTCTCGGCTATATTTTGAGGAAATTGATTAATGATGGTCGTTATCCACGCGACCTCATTACTGTAGTATATTCCTGCCATAGACAGCTGATCCAGTAAACATCGTATTTTCCGTACTTGTTCTTGAGCTTCAGCTGCTGTATGGCCTGACGGTAGTAATTTTGTGAGTTCTGTGAAAACTCTCCACTTTTCTGGTATATGCGATTTGTACGACTGTTGTAGTGTCTGTACAATCGTGTCATACGAGTATTCGTTCAATACTATTCCTCTGATGTGATCACGAGCTCTGCCTTTTAAAGATTCTCCAAGATAAAGAGCTTTTTCTCTCAGAGATAAAGAGGTATCTCCATCTATAACTGTACTGAATGCAGTCCAATACGAGTTGAAATTGGCTGCGTCTCCATCAAAACTCGGTAGCGTGAGTTGTGGTCGTTTTATTGGTGCCGATAATGGTTGAATTGGAATCGTAGGCTGATTCATTCTTGAACTTGGTGATTGCACTGGGTTGGGATCACAGTTTGCTCGTTGGAGTTGTTTCAAACACATAGTGATATCCGTCATTTGTTGTCGAAGTATCCTGATCTCCTCGTGCACAT